CATTCAAATGACTGTTTGACTGATTGTGGACTCCATTGGAAACCATAGAAATGGACCGATTTATCAGCGAAGACATCATCCAATTGTCTCTCATTTACCATTCAATTCAGTCCACAATTCAGACACCAATTCAATGCAATTCACGAATCGTTTGTTTAAATTACAAACAAAACTATTAATTGTTTACAAAATCAATGCTTGGCTTTTGGGAACCACTCGTCCATCACTTATGTCTTCACTTTTGGCCGTAATTTATGGCAAATACTAATCAAAACATTCAAAACATGAGTTATTTCTGCAATTGATTTGAATTTGGTTTTGGTTTTTGCATTCAATTTGAAGAGTAAATCACTGATCAATTGATCCAATGGTGAGATTTGGTCGAAAGCCTTCGTGGAGTTTCCCCGACTTTAAGGCCAGACTTCCCGACCATTACTACGAATACCAAAAGCGACTCAACTATCCGTCCTCTCGAGTCCACGACAGACCCAAAGACATTGATTATTATGATTTGGTTTACAATAAACAGAGACATAAAGTGTAAGACTAGTCAACAATCGGTGGTAAGAGTTAGTGATAATAAGTTTGAATATGTGTTGATGTGTTGCAGGGAAAGAGTGGCCGACACTCCCATTCCGGTGATATACCCGCCCGAAGCAGATGTGGGTATTTGGGGCGGAGAGGGTATTGTCAAGGGTTATGTCAAACCCCGCAAGTACTTCGAGGCCGGAAAAATGTCTGTACTTTTGTCCCATATTTAATGGTTAAAAGCAGTCACTCATGAGTTAATGCCTTATTGTTTAGTCGCCCGAAATATTGGTTCCCAAACTTGAAGAGAGCCGTCTTCTACAGCGAAATACTCGATAAGTACTTCCGGACGATATGTACGCGAAGAACACTGGAATTGGTTGATAAACACTACGGCTTCGATAGCTATATATTGAGTCCGTTTTAAATACAATTTGTGGTAAATTTGTACTCATTTTATGGTTTTAAACTAACTAATCCTTGACTTCACGTTCTGAACTTCAGACCAGACCGCAACTTAAACGCTTCTTATTACGAAAACTGCAATTAAGCATTCCTAAAATTTCTAGGTTTTGTAACGCTTCTTTACCACGACAAATATAGGGATTGTTTGATTCCGGTATTGATTGTTGTGTTTTAGTCTTCTTCTGGTGAAGAATAATGCTTTTGACGTTAATTCGTAAGGATTTTAAAGATCCAAAACATTGCGAAGAAATGGTCGACAAATATAGGGATTGTTTGATTCCGGTATTGATTGTTGTGTTTTAGTCTTCTTCTGGAGTTTAAAGCATTTGTGTTGACACAGGAAGAAGAGGCCGAATGGGTTGGCCTTTCAGTCAGAGACGCAATGGTAAAGCAGAAGTTAATTGACGCCAAAGCCAATAAAGCTATTCCTCTGAAGGCAACTCTAACTCAAGAGCTTATAGAAGAACTACAAAGTAATTCAATTCTCATCTTTAATTTTATTATCCATTTAAACGGTTATTATTTCTCAATAGAAATGAAAGACAGCGGAGAACTCGATATCATTATGAAAGACGAGGACAAGTGAGTTATAGACTGTTATGTTTTAATCATCACTTATTTAATGTCATTTTTAATTTCAGGACTAATTGGTTCAATAAATTCAAATCCAAAATACCTTTCCTTAAGGCTAACCAATAGTCTTCTCACAAACCATCCATTTATAGTTATAATTGAATAAAATATACAAATAATAGTCATTTGAATACACGATTGAATTTTATATTAACAGTTAATGATTTATTATGTAATACATTTAGTTATCAATAAAATACATTTCATTTAATATATGAAAAACAAATTTATTAATTTAATATTAAAATGCAATTCCAATACGAGACCAAATGGTTGCCAATAATCTAATAATGTAATAAATAGTAAAATGAGATCAAATCTAATGTAATGTGTATTGTATTGTAATGACTATCGAGGATGGCATTCAATAATTGGTCATTTATTGACACCGAAGGCATAAATCATTATTTAATTTTCCTCTTTAAAGCNTAAATCATTATTTAATTTTCCTCTTTAAAGCATTCACTCATTACTATAATATCGTTAACAAGTGTCAAGAATAAGAGGGTTTTTCACATTCAACACAAATACAATCAATCAATACCTTTGTATGGATCCAATGGTCACCACAAGTCGATCCCGCACTCAACACGTGGTCAACCAATTCAGCCTTTAGTGCATTCATTAAACGCATGTTTCGCTCATTTAATCGCTTTTACACTAAAGATAAATAAAATACAAGCAAAATATCCGTTTAGTATTCATTTAATAAATTATTAACCATTTATCAAAAGACAAAGAAAATGTAATTTAAATACCATTGCATTCAATGCGTCGGATCACACGCTGGATCCGATTCACTCAATTCAGTGATCCATCTCAAGACATACTGAAAGAGCGTCTATTATCATCAAATGTGAACGCATTGACCACATTGTGGTAATCGTAGTGTCCTTCACATCACTCGATGCGAGTGAAGACCAGTTGGTCTGAAGTGAGTGTTTGGGCGGAAAGGGAGACAAGTGTTGACTGAAAACGTGTTCACAAATTGTTCGCAAAAGTGAATGCATTCCTCTTTTATAGGGTATTGCAAAGTGAATGCAGTATTGAATACCATTTCAACAAACATAACGTCCAAAACACAAAACTTTATTTAACTTTTTTTAGAATAAGTTCAATTAATAATTGATTACCATTTACAGGTGCTTTCCTATGGGCGCCCTAAGTAATTGTCCGCCCATTTCTAAGCCCTTGGATTTTAATAAAATTAAGTTTATCTTAAAGATATAAGATGGCAAATGGATGTACATTGACTACATTGATGTTAGATTCAAAATTACCACCACATTTGGTTCGTGTGGAACTCTTTCTGGAGAGTATGAGCAGACTATTCAAATACGGGCCATAAGTTTGAGTGCATCGAAACTAATTTGATAATTGGATTTCATAAAATAGTAGAGTTGGCTAAAATTAAATATTATGTTAAATTAATACATGACATACATTGGTTAATATGTTAAATTAGTAGTCATTCATATCACAACAATATCGCGAAAAAAGTCAGGTCATAAAATTCAATAATGTTTTAAAAGTAAAAATTTTTAATTAAATTTCTCATGATGGTTAAACGATTTTCAATTAAAATTTAATGTATGACAAATTTAACTTCAAGTATTCCTCTTAAGTTTCAAATACTTACAAGTTAGAGAGAAGAAAAATATTTGTTATCATGGTCATATTGATTATTGTTTAAAAGATATACAATGATCAGAAATGAATGACACAAAGTTTATATTATATATGATTACCTGTATAGTAGGTATTATGATTATGTAAGTGTGAGTTTATTATGAATTGTGGTGCTATTCTCTGACCAAAATTCGATTCTTTCTTCAATTGAAACTAATCTTTGGGTCCAACAGTACTGGAGACTGAAATTTTTAAATTATTTTCAAATCTATAATATCAACAGATTATGTATACACTGCAAGTAATTACTAATTACTACATCGATTAAAAATGTTTGTTTATTTTTGTTAACATTAAATCATGTTTTATTGGAAATACATTAAATTATAAGATATAAACCTAATTATTGCCAAAGTTATAGCTTTTATTGGTTCAAAATTATATAACACTTTGTTGTGATGTAAACACCGTTTGAATTCAGTGTCCATTCGCTCATCAAATACACACTCATTGCTCTCTCATTGCACTCCCCATACACTCACTCAATACAGTCACTACTGTCTGCACTAACTCTGCTTTACCATACCATCTGTCAATTGTGAACAACTTTTGTTTTAATTGTATTATTCATTATTACCGTTAGTGTAATGAGAGTTATGTTGTGTTAAATGAGACATATTTATCATAAATGTATAATTTTATTAACTCTTTTTGTAAGCAATTAATAATGCATTGAATGCTATTAAATGTTAAACTAACGTAAATGTTAAAGTAACTTATGATGTTAATCCTATGTTAAACTATTACACTTGTACAGTATTTTGATTACTTTTATTAACCTTGTTAAACTTTTAATTTAGATTCTTGGTTCTTGATATACAATACTATTACTTTGTTATTGTTATTACATAATTAAGAAAAACATAATTATAAATATATACTGTATTTAATAATATTTTGAATAACATCTAAAACAAAGTAAAGGATTTAAATAAGGATTCAAAAGTGTATCCAAACTTTAGAAGAGAGAAGATATAAAGAATATTAGAAAAATTAGATTACTTTATATTAGAAAAATTGATCATGATTAGTTTAGATTTTGCATTCCTCGTAATATCTATCATATTTCGATAAGTTGTGTACAATAGTTGCTAAACTAAAACTACACATTGAAAATATAAGACAAAAACATAGTGCTCAAAATAATTATTATAATAATTTTTATTCCCTTTACTCTCTGTGTTGTCTTAGGTATGAAAAATACCACTTATTCACTTACATCCTTAGCGAGCTTTCAATGTCTTCATAACTCATCTCAAGTTTCTGTATTCAATAATTTTCAAGTTTCGCTAATTGTTTCTTAATTTTTAGTACTTTTACAAAACTTAATAATGAATGTAAAATTAATATAAAGATTGAGGATTATGTTTGAATCACTCAATACATATCAATTTATTGAATAGAATAGAGTAGTGGTTAATTTATTTGATTAATTTTGTTCCCAAAATGTAATTTAATGTATTAAGAGTTATAAAAGCGCTAATAATTTAAATGTTATAAACAATAGAGTTTTTATCGGAGGAGAGAGCAATCTTTCCTCGAGCCAAAAGTTCTAATGCTTTGGGATATGTTTGGTGTTCAATACGTTTGCCTTTTTCCATAAGTGTGTCGACCGTATCGTTCACCTCAATAGGGATGGGAGACTGTGCTATGATAGGGCCCGCATCCATCTCTGGGGTCACGAAGTGAACGGTACAACCCGTCAGCTTTACTTTGGCGTCCAGTGCCTGTTGATAGGCTGCCATACCTTTGAATAGCGGAAGTATAGACGGGTGAATGTTAATCATTCTTCCGGACCACGAGTTGACAAATGTTTCGGTCATTATTCTCATATAACCGGCCAAACAAACGATATCTATCGAGTGCTCCAAAAGTACTTTTTGGATTCTCTCATCAAATTCTTCTCGGGATTCAATTTTCTTCTTAATAAATATCTTGGTTGTAATGCCTTCCCTCTGAGCTCTGGCCACTCCTTCGACGTCCTTCTTGTCGGATACAACGAGTGCCAAATCAATTGCAGTATTGCTTGCGTTCTGTTTGACGTAATCAGCAATTGCTTGAAAGTTAGTGCCGGAGCCGGACAAGTCTTGGCGATGAGAAAAGAAGAAATAATCTCCATTAACACAAAATCCTCACTGGCCTTTCAACAAATGATAATGAGGAAGTAGGAACGCAACATAGTGTAAAGGGTGTTATATACGAAAGAGAGGTCTTGAATGAATCATATCGAGTACTGATGGAGCGTCTGATTGACTGACTATACAAATCATTCCCAAACCACAGTTAAATGTTTTAAGCATTTCTCTATCGGCAATATTTCCCTCAGATTTAATCCACTTATAAATATCTTGTACCTCCCATTTGGACGCATCCAATACAACAGCCAAATGTTTGGGTAAAGTTCTGTAAATTCATTCAGTTATTATTTGTATTCAAAACTCCAATAAAAAAATCTCTGAATGTGTAAAATCTCTTAATTAAACGATAAATAAAATTTATATTAATCAAGCATTTAATGCTATGAAAAGTACGAGATTTACTAGAACTTGGGAACCGTCACAACACATTCAGTTCATCTAATGTTATAATATATTATACAATACCGGGGGATGTTTTCGATGAGACCGCCTCCTGTAATGTGTGACAAGGCTTTGATTTTTCCCGATTGGATTGCTTTCAATAATGGTTTGACGTACAGCTTTGTCGGCGCGAGTAATACATCACCAAAAGTCTTTGTTTTGTCAAATGGCGTTAAATCTGTATATTTTACATTTTTTATTGAAATCAATTTCCTAACGAGACTGAAACCATTGCTATGAACACCACTGGAACCCTGCGGTTAGTGATGTAGTGACCGAACTTATAGTAACTCTGCCCCGTTTTCCGAGGCAGAGAGTTGTCGAGGGTGTCGTTTTGGCCGGTTTAGTTTCAGTAGCAGGCGTATGTAAGGGCCGTAAACCGCTGTCTCTCCCCCTAAACATAAATTTGTTAAATAATAGTTTCAACATTTTTAAATGAGATTTAGAAATAAGATCTGAGTATTAATTTAATAAAAACAAAAGTTGTCAAGTGATAGAAATATTATACCAATGAGAGCGCAATTGGATTCTTTACACCCTTTGGCAATGCCTTCAACAACTTTGGCCCCAATATTAACATCAAGTTTACTACACGCGTAATAGTCGAGGAAATATAAGGGCTCTGCGCCCTGGACTAGGATGTCATTGACACACATGGCCACCAAATCAATGCCCACTGTATCCACTTTTCCATATTCAAGAGCCACTCTTAACTTCGTGCCCACGCCATCGGTTCCCGACACAAGAATCGGATCGTTATATTTAGCAGCTTTTAAGTCAAACAAAGCCCCGAAACCGCCGATTTGGTCCATTACTCCACTTCTATTCGTATCGTTCGTAAACTTTTTAATTTTGTTAACTAACTCTTCGCCCGCAATAATATCTACACCGCTTGACTTGTAATCTAATGATTTCGGGAGTCTATAAAACATATTAATTCTTATTAAATATATTCTTTAACTGATAATTTAAATATCAATAATTTTTAATTAATTTTTAAACATTAAAACAAGTTTAAAAGAATACCTGATCAATGCTTTGTTTGCGATATCTTTTCTATAAAAGCTGTGCTCTATTTTGATTAGATTTGCGCCTTTAAGAGCATTCTTAACAGCGGTTCCCAAATCATCCTCAACTGCGACCACTGTTAAGATTCTTCCTCCAGAATTATAAAACTTGTTATCTTTGTATTGAGTGCCGCCATGAAAGACAAGAAGTCCTGCTTTAATAGCCTCATCAATGCCTTCAATGAGTTGTCCTTTGATGGGAGTGTTGGGATACCCCTCACTCGCCACCACTACACCACACGAACTCTTGTTTTTCCATTTTAGTTCAATTGTGTTCAACTTTTGTTGAGTACAGGCATTGAATATATCATACAAATCAGAATCCAATAGTGGAATAACTGACTGCGTTTCCGGATCTCCAAAACGACAGTTGAATTCAATCACTTTTGGTCCGTCTCTTGTGATCATAAGTCCGGCGAATAAAAGACCAACGAATGGTTTGCCGTCTTTCCGTAAGCCGTCAATTGTTTTTCTCAAAATATCTCTTTCAATGATTTCGACTGATTTTGAGTCGAGGAAAGGATAGGGACAATAAGCACCCATTCCTCCAGTGTTGGGTCCCCTGTCGTTCTCATACGCTCTCTTGTGGTCTTGCGATGGAAGTAATGTCTTGAAATGGGTTCCATCGGTAAGTGCAAGAACTGAGACCTCATCGCCTTCGAGCAACTCTTCCACAACAACCACATCCCCAGCGCTTCCAAAACTTTTATTCACAAGAATGGAATCGACGGCATTACACGCCTCCTCTACATTGGCGGCCACTATAACACCCTTACCCGCCGCTAATCCACTGGCCTTTACGACCAAAGCTTTAAAGTTCGCGTTTTTGATAAAGTTTTTTGCTTCGTTCGCATCTTTAAAATTCTGGTACCGAGCGGTCGGTATGTCGTGAGCTTTCATAAAGTCTTTGGCAAATGATTTGTTGCTTTCAATCTGCGCGGCGGCTCTGTTTGGACCAAAACAACGGATTCCCTTTTCGCTCAATTTGTCGACAACACCCCTTTCAAGTGGATCTTCGGGTCCGACCACAACCAGTTGCGGTTTATTCTGTAGACACCACTCCACCACTTTGTCCACATTTTTAATATCTAAATCTAATGCCAAAATTGGTTAATAAAGTTCTTGTATTTAAATATCTAGATTACGAACCGACGGTCTGGACCTTTGATCCCAATGTATGAATGCCTCCATTTCCTGGCGCCACATAAATCTTGTTAACTTTGTGGGACTGCACCAGTTTCCAGGCCAGGGTATGCTCTCGAGACCCGCTTCCCAATAGTAAAACTGTTTCACTCATTTTGAACTTATAGTTGTTTTCAAAATGAAACCAAATTTAAATGACAATAATTTCTTTTATAAACCGATTTATAATATAAAATTGTTGATCAGTTGATTGTCTACTTATTTGAACAATTTTTATAAAAATTTCATCGAAAACATGAGAATATATATCTATCTGAAGATAACACGAGTTTTTCAGCCTTGAAAACAATCCTTGAGAACTTGTCTTTTATCAGTTAAATCTTCAATTCACAGCTAATATACCTATTTTTCATCAAATTAACGGTTCGTTCAAATGTTTTCAAGACGTTTGACTGTCAATTGGGACGATATATTGAGACGATATGGCAATTATTGATAACTAATAAATAATTCTCATATCTCTAAGTGTTTTTAGATAATTGTTTCGAAGCGAAAGAATATAAATATTAAACTGAATATCTTTTGAGTGTTATATAATTTTGAACCAATAAAAGCTATAACTTTGGCAATAATTAGGTTTATATCTTATAATTTAATGTATTTCCAATAAAACATGATTTAATGTTAACAAAAATAAACAAACATTTTTAATCAATGTAGTAATTAGTAATTACTTGCAGTGCATACATAATCTGTTGATATTATAGATTTGAAAATAATTTAAAAATTTCAGTCTTCAGTACTGTTGGACCCAAAGATTAGTTTCAATTGGAGAAAGAATCGAATTTTGGTCAGAGAATAGCACCACAATTCATAATAAACTCACAGTTACATAAGCATAATGCCTACTATACAGGTAATACTGTAATATAAAGTTTGTGTCATTTATTTCTGATCATTGTATATCTTTTAAACAATAATCAATATGACCATGATAACAAATATTTTTCTTCTCTCTAACTCGTAAGTATTTGAAACTTAAGAGGAATAATTGAAGTTACATTTGTCACACTTTAAATTTTAATTGAAAATCGTTTGGATCATCATGAGAAATTTCATTAAAAATTTTTACTTTTAAAACATTATTGAATTTTATGACTTGACTTTTTTTTGGCGATATTGTTGTGATAAATGACTACTAATTTAGTATATTAACCAATGTATGTCATGTATTAATTTAACATAAAATTTAATTTTAGCTAACTCTACTATTTTGTGAAATCAAATTAGTTTCAATACGCTGAAACGTATGGCCCGTATTTGAATGGTCTACTCATACCCTCCAGAATCGGCTCCACACCAACCAAAGGCGGTGGAAATTTTGAATCTAACATCGATGTAGTCAATGTAGTCAATGTACATCCATTTGCCATCTTTTATCTTTAAGATAAACTTAATTTCATTAAAATCCAATAAAGGCTTTGAAATGGGCGGACAATTAAAATTACTTAGGAACTTGTTCTAAAAAAAGTTAAATAAAGTTTTGTGTTTTGGACGTTATGTTTGTTGAATTGATATTCAATACTGCATTCACTTTGCAATATTAATATATAATGTACCCTATAAAAGAGGAATGCATTCACTTTTGCGAACAATCTGTGAACACGTTTTCAGTCAATACTTGTCTCCCTTTCCGCCCAAACACTCACTTCAGACCAACTGGTCTTCACTCGCATCGAGTGATGTGAAGGACACTACGATTACCACAATGGGGTCAATGCGTTCACATTTGATGATAATAGACGCTCTTTGAGTATGTCTTGAGATGGATCACTGAATTGAGTGAATCGGATCCAGCGTGTGATCCGACGCATTGAATGCAATGGTATTTACATTTTCTTTGTCTTTTGATTAATGGTTAATAATTTATTAATTTAATACTAAATGAATGTTTTGCTTATATTTTATTTATATTTAGTTCAAAAGCGAATAAATGAGCGAAACATGCGTTTAATGAATGCAATAAAGGCTGAATTGGTTGACCACGTGTTGAGTGCGGGATCGACTTGTGGTGACCATTGGATCCATACAAAGGTATTGATTGATTGTATTTGTGTTGAATGTGAAAAACCCTCTTATTCTTGACACTTGTTAACGATATTATAGTAATGAGTGAATGCTTTAAAGAGGAAAATTAAATAATGATTTATGCCTTCGGTGTCAATAAATGACCAATTATTGAATGCCATCCTCGATAGTCATTACAATACAATACACATTACATTAGATTTGATCTCATTTTACTGTTTATTACAGATTATTGGCAACCATTTGGTCTCGTATTGAAAATGGGATTTTTAATATTAAATTAATAAATTTGTTTTTCATATATTAAATGAAATGTATTTTATTGATAACTAAATGTTACATAATAAATCTTTAACTTAATATAAAATTCAATCGTGTATTCAAATGACTATTATTTGTATATTTTATTCGATTATAACTATAAAGGGATGGTTTGTGAGAAGACTATTGGTTAGCCTTAAGGAAAGGTATTTTGGATTTGAATTTATTGAACCAATTAGTCCTGAAATGTAAAGAAATGGTATTAAATAAGTGATGATTAAAACAGTCTAACTCACTTGTCCTCGTCTTTCATAATGATATCGAGTTCTCCGCTGTCTTTCATTTCTATTGAGAAATAATAACCGTTTAAATGGATAATGAAATTAAAAATGAAAATTGAATTACTTTGTAGTTCTTCTATAAGCTCTTGAGTGAGAGTTGCCTTCAGAGGAATAGCTTTATTGGCTTTGGCATCAATTAACTTCTGCTTTACCATTGCGTCTCTGACTGAAAGGCCAACCCATTCGGCCTCTTCTTCCTGTGTGAACACAAATGCTTTAAACGCCAGAAGAAGACTAAAACACAACAATCAATACCGGAATCAAACAATCCCTATATTTGTCGACCATTTCTTCGCAATGTTTTGGATCTTTAAAATCCTTACGAATTAACGTCAAAAGCATTATTCTTCGCAAATTCAACGCCAGACCAGACTTCAAGTCTTGCACTTCAGTTCCTAATCAATCAAATTCACCATAAAATGAGTACAAATTTACCACAAATTGTCTTTAAAACGGACTCAATATATAACTATCAAAGCCGTAGTGTTTATCAACCAATTCCAGTGTTCTTCGCGTACATATCGTCCGGAAGTACTTATCGAGTATTTCGCTGTAGAAGACGGCTCTCTTCAAATTTGGGAACCAATACTTCGGGCGACTAAACAATAAGGAATCAACTCATGAGTGACTGCTATTAAGCATTAAATATGAGACAAAAGTACATTTTTCCGGCCTCGAAGTACTTCCGGGGTTTGACATAACCCTTGACAATACCCTCTCCGCCCCAAATACCCACATCTGCTTCGGGCGGGTATATCACCGGAATGGGAGTGTCGGCCACTCTTTCCCTGCAACACATCAACACATATTCAAAGTCATTATCACTAACTCTTACCACCGATTGACTGGTCTTACACTTTATGTCTCTGTTTATTGTAAATCAAATCATAATAATCGGTGTCTTTGGGTCTGTCGTGGACTCGAGAGGACGGATAGTTGAGTCGCTTTTGGTGTTCGTAGTAATGGTCGGGAAGTCTGGCCTTAAAGTCGGGGAAACTCCACGAAGGCTTTCGACCAAATCTCACCATTGGATCAATTGATTAATGATTTACTCTTCAAATTGAATGCAAAACCAAAACCAAATTCAAATCAATTGCAGAAATAACTCATGTTTTGAATGTTTTGATTAGTATTTGCCATAAATTACGGCCAAAAGGGAAGACATAAGTGATGGACGAGTGGTTCCCAAAAGCAAAGCCAAGCATTGATTTTGTAAACAATTAATCGTTTTGTTTGTAATTTAAACAAACGTTTCGTGAATTGCATTCAATCGGTGTCTGAATTGTGGACTGAATTGAATGGTAAATGAGAGACAATTGGATGATGTCTTCGCTGATAAATCGGTCCATTTCTATGGTTTCCAATGGAGTCCACAATCAGTCAAACAGTCATTTGAATGCAATGAACGGCCAAAACATCACTTCAACTGATTCTCCGCTCAAACTCTTTGTTTTGGCGAAGAAAACCATTAATGAGATATTCCTCGACATCAACGCCTTCGTCACCGAATGCCATGACTTTGTCAATGATGTGAACGAAGAGGTGATCAGCAAAGACCAGTTGAGTCGAGTCGACAGTTTCACCGCCAAAGTGACCGGAATTAGGGATGTGTTGACCAGAGATCACATGAAAGTGGCGTTCTTTGGCCGCACCAGTAATGGCAAGAGTAGTGTCATTAACGCCGTCCTCCACAACAAGATATTGCCGTCTGGTTTGGGACATACGACCAATTGCTTCCTTCAGGTCGAGGGCACCGACGAAGACGAGCCCTATATTGTGGTCGACGATAAGCCCAATACACGGCTTAACATAGAGTCGGTCCAGGATTTGGCCAACGCTTTGACGGCCGGAGAAATGGGTGACTCAACACTGGTTCGCGTGTTTTGGCCCAAAAGCAAGTGCTCTCTACTCAGCGATGATGTGGTTCTGGTGGACAGTCCGGGCATTGATGTGTCCGCAAATCTGGACGAATGGATTGATAAGCACTGTCTCGACGCCGATGTCTTTGTGTTGGTCTCAAACTCGGAGTCAACTCTCATGAGAACCGAAAAGAATTTCTTTCATAAAGTGAATGAAAAGCTTTCGAAACCGAATGTCTTTATTCTGAACAACCGATGGGACGCCTCGGCCTCAGAGCCCGAAAACCTGGAACTCGTCCGCAAACAACATATGACACGTGATATTGACTTTCTTACGGTTGAACTCAATGTTGTGGACACCGAGGAAGCGAAGGACAGAGTGTTCTTTGTCTCAGCCAAAGAGGTTCTTCAGGCGCGCACTCAAAGACCTCCGGTTAACTCGAGTGCATTTCCCGATGGCTTTCAGATCCGTTACTTTGAATTTGAAGACTTTGAGCGCAAGTTTGAACAGTGTTTGTCAAAGTCGGCGCTGAAGACCAAGTTTGCACAGCACACCAAACGCGCCCAGAGGTTGACCTCTGAGTTATCCCATATTCTGGATGCCATTCAACAGAAGTCCAATCAATTAATGACTTCTAAATGCGAGCAAAGGAATGAATTGATGGAAAAGTTGCAGTTTATTGAACAACAAATGCATTTATTGACGGATGAAGTGAAGCATCAGATTTGCCATTTGGTAGAACAGGTAGAGGTGAAGGTCTCCTCCGCCCTCACCGAAGAGATTCGTCGCCTCTCTCTACTCGTCAATGACTTCGACCGACCCTTTAGTTCTGATTGTCTTGTTTTAGGCGTCTATAAGAAAGAGCTTCACTCGCATGTGGAACGAGGCCTCGGCTCTAACCTAAGGGCTCGACTCTCGACCGCACTTACATGTAATGTAGAGTCGGCTCAACACGAGATGATTGAACGCGTTATGAATTTACTCCCACCACAAGAACAGCAAAAACAATTCAACTATAGTTTGACTCCTCGACAGAATTTCGAGATATTATATCGAATTAATTGCGAATCCCTTTGTTCTGACTTTCAGGAAGACTTGGAGTTTAAGTTCTCGTTTGGTTTGATTCAAATGATTAGGAGATTCACAAAATCTAATGATTATAAAAAGGATTTTAACAAATCTTTGCCATCGACTGCACCGCAAACCCCCAGTAATAGCGAAGTCGTGCAAACCAGTAGTGTATTGAATACGGACGCACTCGCGCTCATCGATAAACTAAGTCTAGTATCGCCGCAATCGCACACAACTGTCGGTCTCTTAGGCGTCAGCGCTTTTCTCGTGCGAACCATCGGTTGGCGTTTAATTGCTATTACGGGCAGCGTTTACGGACTGCTATACATCTACGAGAGACTCACGTGGACTAATAGGGCTAAAGAGTCCACTTTCAAGCGACAATATGTTAATCACTCGACGCGTAAGCTTAAGCTTATAGTCGATCTGACGAGCGCTAACTGTTCACATCAGGTCCAACAGTCAGTATTTGAATCAATCCATTCGTATTATTGGTTATTAATATTTGTATTCTGTTTATAGGGAGTTGTCGTCAACTTTTGCCCGTTTATGTCATTTAGTGGATGAAGTGATTGTTGACATCCAATCGGAACTTAAACTTCTAGACCAACAGATCCAGAGACTGGACGAGTACTCTAGCATTTCCAGAAAACTCAAGAATAGGGCCAACTTCTTGGCCAATGACTTAAATAAATTCACTGACGATTACCTAAATATTTAAAATATAATTTTGAAACTAAATAGAAATATCATTAAATATTCTTATGGTAGTTATTTTTGTGATCAATTGACTCTTGTTTATAGAATTAGATTCTGTTTTATTTTAGTGTTTTATGTTTGACAACAATTATAAGATAACTGAAAGTATAAATTAAATTTAATGTTCGCTTTTAATGCAAATAAAATTTAATCGATCGTTATTTTGAAGTATATTTCAATTGAATACCATTTACATTGATAGCAATTAAACATGATCATTTCTTTAATCATCACAGCATCAGTCTTGCACTGCAGTGTTGCCAACGCTTCCCCACACATCACGTAATGCCTGAATGAGGAGAGTATGTGATTGTATGATGTAATGCAAGCATTGAATGAATGCATTTGAATGAGACGTTTGGCAGCAATAGGTCTGTACAGACTGTACAGTGAAAGCCTGTGCTATAGCTGTAGTGCACGTGCTTTGCGTTCATTCATTCATTCGTTGGTTTAGTCAGTCATTCATCCCTTGAGACATGTCTTGGCTTTTCGGGTACAACAAGACTGATCACATCCCGCAGATGCAAAGCCCGAGCGGACCGGCCGGGGCTGAGGGCGCCGGTGGGGGCGCTGGCGGTGCGGCGGACGGCGGCGTCGAGGGAAAGATGAGGGCCTATCAGTTCGACTCTTCGGCGCTCGAGAGGGCGGCCAAAGCGGCCAAAGACTTGGAGGCGTCAAAGTTCGCGAAGGATGCGCTCGATTTGTCGAAACTTCAGGAAACGACGAAACAAATGGATCTCCAGAAGCAGATGAAGGAATACGAGTCACATTTGGAGCAAATGAAGATCGAAGGAAAACGCGTTGAATACGAAGAGAAGAGGAAAATGATGGCCGAAGAGACCAAACAACACCAACAGAGAGCTCAATATCAGGACCAGTTGTCCCGCAGACGATATGAAGACCAACTGATGCAACAGCAGAGGACTAATGAAGAGAATTTGCGAAAACAAGAGGAATCGGTGGTCAAACAGGAAGCGTTGCGGCGGAAGACTTTGGAGCAGGAAATGGATATGAGAGCCAAGTCTGACATGAAGAGGATTGAGGCCGAGATGAAGGGGAAGGCCATTCTCGAGAGGGAGAATCGCGACATCTATTTGGAGCAAATCAAACTGAAAGCCGCCGAAGAAAGGGTTACTGTCATTGAATCCATCAAAACCGCGGGTCAAGTGATTGGAACCGGTTTTAAGGAATTTATATCAGATTGGGATCGAGTGTCGGCCACTGCCGTCGGATTCACTCTCATTGCCGGAGGAATATATTCGGCAAAACATGGAATCAATATTATTGGCCGAACCATTGAATCCCGAATCGGCAAACCATCGCTCGTGAGGGACACTTCAAGACTCAACTTCTTGGATATTCTCAAACACCCGATTCATACGTCGAAACGCTTCTATTTAAGTCGTCGACCCGAAGACGCTCTCAAAGGAGTTATACTGAAGCCAACTCTGGAAGAGAGGCTCCGGGATGTGGCCATCGCTACGAAGAATACGAAGAAAAACAAAGGTCTTTATCGGAATATCCTGTTCTACGGCCCGCCGGGAACGGGAAAGACATTGTTTGCCAAACGTTTGGCACAGCATTCAGGTATGGATTACGCGATACTAAGCGGCGGAGACGTGACACCAATGGGTCGCGAAGGAGTCACTGCAATACACAAGACATTCAATTGGGCCAACACTTCCCGAAGAGGTCTTCTGCTGTTCGTCGACGAAGCGGACGCTTTCCTTCGCAAAAGAAGTTCCGAACAAATGAGTGAAGACTTGAGAGCGACGCTCAACGCCTTCCTCTATAGGACAGGCGAACAGTCAAACAAATTCATGTTAGTGTTGGCCAGTAATACACCCGAACAGTTCGATTGGGCCATCAATGACCGACTCGACGAACTCGTGGCCTTCGAGTTGCCGGAGTTGGAAGAGCGCCAGCGATTGGTTCGCCTCTATTTCGACCAATTTGTGTTACAACCGGCCGCTCAGGGAAAGAGGTATTCAGTCATTTCAATACTCTATAAAATACTTTTTATTCACTTATATATTAATACCGGCAATGATTTATCACATATTTTCATGACTTAAAGGCGACTAAAATTAGATAAATTTGATTACAACGAGACGTGTAATAAAATCGCTCAATTGATCGACGGATTGTCCGGTCGGGAGATCTCGAAATTAGGCGTTTCGTGGCAGGTATGCACTCACACAACACCACTTGACTCATCACTTATTAATGTCATAATTGTTTGCTAAGGCGAGCGCTTATGCCTCACACGACGGTCTCCTAACGGAACAGATGATAATGGAGAGGGTATACGACTCTATAGAGCAACACAAACACAAACTCGAGTGGCAGGCGGATGAAGAACGCACCAAAAGGAGTGGTCCTCTGGTCCCCAAAAGCACTTCTCATGCAGTCATTTGATACAAGTGTTGAATAGTTGTGTGTCGTGAGGGTCGGTGTCGTCGATGACCGCCTCATCCCACGGCCCGTAAATGTTTCTGTTTTTTTGAATTGTATATAAAGTTTAGATATTTTTTATATAAATTTTAGACGTCATGTGAGACATGACTAAACACTGTCTTAAGACACATACTCTTTGTATTTCTGGCACCGATAGAAACCGAGCGGACAAATAAAGTTAATGCAAACCAATAGTACTATAAATAGCAGTAAATATATTAGCGGACACGCGATGGACAGTAGTGTGAATGAAGTGCTCCAATAAAATACAGTCAAACATATCTTCCAGTTCTCTGTTTGTACTCTTCGTCTAAGAATCGCCGATAAGACGAATATATCGGACGCGAAGATAAGTAACGCGAAGGCGTCGTAAGTGGTGGAGAGCCGGGAGGCGAGACATACGCCACCGAAAATGGCGGCATTGAGTGCGACCGGAGTGCTAACGATGGCTGCTTTGGCGCCGTAGTCGTAGAAAGTGAGGTGAACTAACATCATGACTGTCACCATCGCGTAGATCGTGTCTGTGCTTATCGTTTCCGTCAATGTCTTCAGTATCGGAGACACCGCTAAACCGCTGATGAGGAATATGGCGGCGCTTTTCAATTCGTTGATCACTGAAAAAGCAATGCCATTACGAGTGACTCAAATGTGTTGACAAGGGTTGAGATGTAATGCATTCATACCGTCATTACTCGGCGACACGAAGATGAGTGTCGAGTACAAGAAGAGAGTGATGACAGCGATTGAGATACAGATAGCGATCGAGAGCTGCGGTCGACCCGAATCGAGGTATAGAAAGACCACAATAAAGATGACAATCGAACAGATCTCTTGTGTCAATGCAGTCGAAGACAGGATACAGTCTTTGAGCTCATATTTCTGTAAATTCACTGAAACATTGCAATCAAATGGTTAACCAACTAATGGATCAATTAGTGGATCAGTTGTAATGCATTTACCATTTTTGCGAAGATCTTTGAGGAAAGATGGCGGGACGTAATGGTCTTTCACTCCTTGTCTCTCATACAACACTTTCTTCCACTCAATGGTCTCTTTGTGGTCAGTCTTACCACTCTTTGTGGTGCGAGTTATCGTCATCTTTGGTCCCAACGCTTTGGTTCAACACTTGATGTTTTGAAAAACACCACTCAATCAACACATGATTGCATCACTTATACGATGGCCTATAAGTGACACTCAATTCAAATTGAGTTACAGTGAACATTCCATATAGTGGTCGAGCAGTTGGTATACATTTTTGGACACTGTATAGAATGTTCACTCTATAGAATGTATGCATAATAGTAGTGACAATAAGTGTATACACTGTTATTACTAAAATAATCATTTATTTAGATTATTTAATGTTTTCGAGATAATAATTTTATATTTGTTTATCAATTTAAATAAAACTTCATCATTTCAAATAATTGCAAGATAAAAAATACCTGTCTCATACCATAAAACACTATAAAGAGCGTAAAAATAGTCAAATATAGCCAAAAATAGAAATAATTTGGCCACAATATAGAATTTACACTGTATAGAGAGTCACTATATGGAGCGGAAATAACATTACAGGTATACAGTGTCCGCCAAACTAAAATATTTTGGACACTATATGGAAAATACACTGTATAGAGCTTTACTATATGGAATGTTCACTGTATTCAATGCAATGATTGCAATATCGATATTACAAATTATAACTTATAATTTATAACATTATTATTTGCATTAAAAGCGCTCAACAATTATTAGCATCACATTTGATACACAAAACCGACAATTAATACATTTTACGTTATAATGAATTTTATTTTAAATGACTTTTCATTGCATATGAAAACTCTTCCACTAATGAATTAAACAAGTAATTCATTACATGTTTTGTTACATGTATTGACTAAACAATAACTAATTGAAACTAAATGTTGAGAACAATTGTGCCCATTTACATACAGACCTTCACAAAATAAACGCAAAGGTGCTTGAGGTGTTTCTGCACCTCTCTCCTCTCCTACCGACACCTCAGCTCCCGACCAAGACGACAAGCCGATTGAAAGCAACCAAAAGTTTGAACGCTTCGATCGGATCCTCGAATTGTGAGTAGTGTTGGAGCACTTGTCGCACGTCATCGACGCCTTCGGTGGCGATCGCCCTCAAGAAGTGCGACAAGTCGTAGAGCGTGCGGTCGTCAGTGTTTCCGTCCCACTTCTTCAGCGTAAGACAATTGTCGCGATTCAGTTGACACGCGTTGCCATTCCAGTCGATGTGAATCACTTTATTTAGGTCTCGGTTCAGACAATTCAAGTCTTTGAGGTGAACGCCGTTCTCATAACGCGTTGAATCCCTGAACAGTCTATACATTACGTAACCGTTTGGGTCGAGACTATCAATGAGCGGAAAGGCAGTGAATCCCTGTTCATAGGTGTAGACCACGATTTCGAAGTTACCAGAAGTGGCCAAATGGTGCAGAAAGTAATCGACAAACGGTCTCTTCTTGAACCGCCAACCCGTCCGATAGGTCCACTCCGGATGGACTAACACACCCGTCATCTCCAGCACAAGAGTGAACGGCGGCTGATAGTAAGGCGGCTCCAGAGGTGGCGGTAACAACAGGTTTCGTGTGGGCTCACGAAGAACCTGCTCGTAGTGGGCGAACGTATCCCACGCTCTGTACACGTATTGAACCATTAATGGCAACGAAGAGAACTTGTCGTCCACTGGATTGCCGTCGGAATCAATGGATGGCTTTCCCCACTCCAGCAGACAGTAGAGACCCGAACCGCAAAACATGCAAAACATGGCCAGAAGTGTATATTTAGTGATCTTCTGTTGTTTCACTCGTTGTCTCTCTTTCTCTATTTTCTCCAAATCTTTATTTGAATCCAAATTATCATTAATTGTGGAAAACCTGTGAATCGTTTGCCAATTCCTTAGCCAATAGTTTCTGCCATCGATTGTCAACTCAGACATCAAACCATTGTTTGGATGTCTGTATAAAAACACAGACATTGAAGACATGGCTGGCATTGAATGCGTGTTTCGTCTCAAAGACAAGCGAGTGATTGGTTTGAAACCATTGATGACATGTCTTGAGGGCCACAAGAGTTTGTGGTGCAGACAGCGTATGGATTGACTCCATTTCAGTGCCATTTGATTACAATTAGCCGTAAATATAGACATCTTTTCACAAAACAAACACTCATTCAGTGATTGATTAGTAAATCAATTGTTGTTTTCATTTCACTTCAAACTATAGTTTGTCTTCAAATCAATTGATTCGCAAACTATTCGCTAATATTTCACACATTTTTTACATATTTTTGACATCAATTACGACAACAATTGCTTACATTAATGATGAAACTTATGCTTGAATTACAGAATATTCAATACAGGAATATAATGTATAAACCGGTAAATTATATAATTTTTATTAATATATTTGTTAATAATTTAATTTTTTATATTAAAAGTTAAGAAACAAACGATTGAAATATACAGTAATCCATAAATTCTTAACATTGATATAATTCTCTGATTTTGTACTCAATCTATGGTCAGATTGATTGGGCAAATGAGGGAAGACTGGGCTCATTAAAAGTTAAGAAACAAACGATTGAAATATACAGTAATCCATAAATTCTTAACATTGATATAATTCTCTGATTTTGTACTCAATCTATGGTCAGATTGATTGGGCAAATGAGGGAAGACTGGGCTCAAGAATCATGTCACAAGAATCAGACATAGTTTGAGTGCCAAACACTGCACTTCTCTCTTGGATTCATAGCTGAGTCCATCGGACACATGAAAGCGTTGGAGAACTGCTCCGTATTGACTAAAACTTTGAATCAAAATAACATTTTATTAAATATAACCTGTTATGTAAAACTTTATGAATTGGGAGAATTGTTGATTGAGTCATAGATTACCTCCATTTGCGCGATACCTTCCGGGGCTGTGATCGTCGAGAAGACTTCTGCGGTGGCCCTCATTGCTCACTACTTCGCACCAAATCTGCGCGTATTGTATAAAAAATAGTTGATCTGAAGTATAGTTTGTAAGTCCCGGCAACTGTTCAAACTTATTATCTTTGTTAAGCTTATAAGCCGTGTATGACTGTTGAAGACCTGCAA